ATCAATAATTTAAATAAGTATCTCTAAAGTTACACTTTTTTCTTAGTTCACTGCAAATGCCGTCCGTCCTATTATTATATTAGAAACTCCTTGCTTAAACTTTAAAACTAATAAATATTTTTTTTTTTTTTTGAAACCCTATAGTTCCAAAAACCCTACAGCAAGTACCACAACCTACAGCTAATGGCCTCAGTTGCCGAACCTTAAATAAAAATAAATTAATTAATAATTAATTAATATTTTATAATACAATTCAAATACTTGATAACAACTAATAATTAAATTTTTTAAATACTAACCCTCCTAATTTATCCATCTTAGTTTATTAAAAAGCACGAAAAAATAATATTAATTTAACCAAAAAAACTCCAACTTACGATGTAATTGTATACCTATAGAGTTTATAATTAAATATAATAATTTTTTAAGATCATACTTCAATAACATGAATACGAGTACCTATGTGATGGCGGACGGGGACAAACATAATTTTATAAAAACACTGTACCTACCTATATTGTGACTGCAGATATAGGTATAAAACTAAAAAAACTAATTTGTTATATAATGTCGTGCGTATAATGTTGATGTTAACCATATAATTTACACAGTAGTCAATGGTATAATTTGTCATCGTTATTTATTCTTTACTAATAATTTTACTAAAAATAAATTCTGTATTCAGTCTGTATTACGTGTGAATAAATTTACAATTATAGCGAACTCTTTAAATTAAACTTAATTGTACTAAAATTGGTCAATGCCAATTACTAGTTGAAAAGGCTATTTACATATCGTCATATCATAGTCCGTCAATATAGAAAACTACAACGAAGAACTATATCGAATGATAACGTAAATCGTCAATCTAGACATAACATAATGATGTACACTGAGTGGAATCCAGGCAGACTCTAGAGGTGGCAAATATCTCTCCTGACAAATACAACTGTCAACAAAATGCATGTATAAGAGGGTGTCAGCACAATTGTATTGGTTTTCAATTACAAAATTATAGAGGATAATATTTTTGAGGGTTTGCCATAGGTATTGGTTTTATATTTTATTATTATTTGACTACGTATTCGATTTTCAAAATAAAAAAAATTATTGTATATTTAAATGATGTATTGATGTTTAATTTGTTTTGAGAAAATATTAATTAGACAAATCGATAAGTCATACCCTCAAAAATATTATTCTCTATCACTTTTGTAATGGGAGATATTATATTTAAATACAAAAAATAATGATTCTACGTAAATGCATTTGTTATGTTATGCAAAGGGGCAGAAATAGAAAACAAATCAGTGCGCAAATAACATCCTCTTAAGAGGATTGGAAGCGGTGATTTTCTGTCTTTGGCTAACACACAGGAAACATAGGAATTTAGACATGTTTTCATTCTAACGTTCAGATTGATCTAGTAGAGCGATAAGAATTCAAAAAACATAATTCAATTTCAATTTGGGATCGACTTTCCCAGATTTTAATTTTTTGATTTACATATTTCATTTTTTTTTTATGTACACATTTTTTACACCAATAATCAAATCTTGAAGTTCTTAAAAAAAATTAACTTGTATAATTGAATATAGGTAATAGAAATAATGAAAATGTAAAATTACTAAAATTATAACAAAAACTAGACGTATTAACTAATGGCCATTGTTGTCGATGCTAATAAATTGAGAACAATAAAAACAAATTAAGGTTGTCTTTCGGTAAGTAAATAATACCTAATAATTAATTATTTCGTTTTCAATTTGGATATCAGATCATTTAACTTTAATAAAAAAAAGGGTCTGGTCTGATTATGATGACCTAAACAACTATAATAATAAAAATTGTTGTATTTGAAAACAGTTGTATTTCTAAACTCTAAAGCGAAATTATTATACCTACTTAATTATCTACAGTCCATACATTTTTACAGCATACAATTTAAATTTAATAACTAACAAAGTTGCAAAACCAAAATAATTTTGAGCATAAAATAAAAATAATATGAGGTTTTTTTGAACATCTATAATTTAGTTTATTAAATTATTATTAAAAATTGTTAGCAAATATATAATGCGTGTTTTTGATGCAAACGAAAATTATCAGTCAAACTATAGAATACAGAAGGTCATAGACATACAAAGAAATGGAGTTAACATTTTATTTGATGCAAAAAAAAAACAGTATAATTTTATTTATTAGCGGTAGCTGGTGTTTGATTTATTAGAACTACACCCTATGGCCTATATTATTTTAAGCAAAACTTAAACATTAGATGTAAGTTTTGAATTGTTGAAATACTTATTACCTACATGTAACGTACCTACTTGAAAGTTATTCACACGGATTATCGTCTTTTATAATTTCTGACTACACCATCGTATTTCAATTTACTTCTTACGAAACAGAATTATATTCCTACATACAAAAGACCAAAATAGTAAAATAAGTACCTAATACCTATAACGGCAATCTATGAATCATTTGAGGCCCTACAATTTTTTTATCAGAACACAATCGGGACAAAAGGTCAAACTGAGGGCAACTAGACAACACCTACAGCATTGAGTATTGAAAATATCTTAATACATAACAGATACTCGGTAGTTGGTAAAGAACTCGGTAAACAATGCAGTATAGATACTTCGTTATTATTTCTTAATGAACAATCGGTGAACAATAGTTAATTTTTCTATAGGTAACATACCTACTTTAACACAAAAAGAATAATGATAGGTAGATTACATGTAGTAAGTTAACTCATGAAGCATGCATATTTACACCATACTATAGTCCAACTACTGGTATGTTCATTACTGTGCGAACGAGCGCACGCATGCCACAATTTAAGCAATAACCATTAACTACTATAGAATGTCAAACTAAAATAATTTTCCATTAATATTTAAACAAAAAATCAGGTAATACATGTAGACCTTTTTCCTGTTAAGTTTAAAATGTCTACACAATTTAGTACGTTATAGTATAATAGACCGTACCACTTTATTATATTGAAACCCCTTATATTGTTAAAACACTCGTCGTCTTTAATACCACAAAAAAAAAATCTATTTTAAGTATGTACAAAATCGTACAACAAACCCTCCTGCAGTCCTGCAAACGCCATAGTCTTAATAAAATCAGTAAAATATGTTTTTGGTTTTATAACTATGTATGATAATAATTAGTAACCAAACGAGACGGAAAGTGTTACACAAACAAGTTTTCATCGTGCAAATAGGTATGTTACGGGCGTTACGGCACACCGCGCGTGTGTAACGGTAAACAAACGCATGTTGTAACAATATTTGTAGCATACATATTTCGTGGTTCGTACCTATATGTCCTATACAATAGGTCATAACCATACTTCTTCTTCAGGTACCAACGGCAATGGCGAAGACACAGAAAACGAGTACAGGGAGCATACGATTATAAAATTAAAAGTAAGACCAGGAAAAATGTTGTATGTTCAATTTAACAAACTTCAAGATACCGTTAGACATTAGAACCCTCTAAAATGCTCAAATTATTTTAAAAACACAATTCAATGTAATAACATGCACTATAATACACGATTGATGAGAGTTTCGAGTCTCTCTACTAGACTATATATAGTGCGGTGCCTATTGATACTATTTGGATTATAACTAACTATTCTACAGATTTAATTTTTAAATATTGTAGCATTTTTTACGAGTTTTGGCATAACATTGACACGTGAAAAAAGGAGAAAAATAGATAATAGGTATCCAATATAGATAAGATAAAAATAAATATATTATCATTAATGCATGACTAACGACTTCGTCTAGAATCAAAAATACTATCATTCACAGCACGGTCCGGGTGGTGAAATTATTGATTGAGTTAGAAAAATAGTTCCCAGTCGGTAGGTCATCAACCGATGTCGAAAAACTTGTTGACGGAAAGAGGACGGGGGCAGTATACCTGACCATCCACAGGTTCACGTCCCACTGGTGAGTTTGCGTGGGGTGATTTTTAAAGACTTTTATATTATTTGACATTTTAAATGATAAAATAAACACACACGACTGTTGTAGCACGTGACAACTTATTACCGAAGGGACGATGCGGAACAGTGGAAGGGTGGATGGGTGGGGTCTGTCAGTTGTCCTCGAGGGCGTTTCGTGCTGCAGCTATGTTTAAAAACATTCGTGGCTCGAGTTCAAAAACAGTTTTCCCCTCCACCACATATTTTTATCGTTATTATTATTATTAATATCACTAACCTGCAGCTATGTACCGCGTACATAATAATAATATGCTATGCGCCAGTGCCAAAACTGAAAGCCAAAATCGCCCCCCGGACCTTGACAATAGTAAAAAACCTGAGCTAGTCGTAATAATATGCACAAATGGACAATACAAAACGTATTGTTATTTGTAGATAAGCGTAATATATTAGTAATTACTAATTAGTAATACAACACGTAGGTACTTATAAGCTATAATATTGTATTGTGTCTACCGCTTCATATTATTATTAGTCATATTACGTGAAGGGACTGTTCAAAGGGGACGGGGGGGGGGGCTTTCCAACCTCAACAAATAAATGTCATCATTGATAAATAGGTGTGTGCGATACCTACAAAGTAAAATTATTTGAATGATACTTTACCAACTATAATGGCACCCCACTTGTAGGGCACTATGATATCCGTTAATTTAAATAAATAAATATGGGTAGAGGGTTCCTACTTACCGGCTACCACCTGCAATTTTACACAGGTCGGCGTTTACGCAAATATCGCAGTAAATTCGAATTTTCAAACACGAAACACGACCGTTGAGTATCTAATACTCACTTACTCAGTACCGCAAATAATATATATATGGGTAGGTGGGTTACCGACAGTTGAACTCGCAATTCGCAATTATTATATTGTCACAACAATAACAAAGCATAATTATTATGGCATTATACCGTCGTTACTCATTCCATAATAATTGCATAATATTATAATAATACGAACCTCCTGCGGGATGTAATCACTTCGTATGTAACAATGACGGAGCCGGTCTCAGGGCGGATGGATGATTGGTAGTCGATGGCCCGCGGGGACCTATTTCCGATTTCGTAACCGATGACAAGCAAGCGGCGGCCAATAGCATATGTTGATGGGTCAATAACTCGACGGCCGCGAGTGGCGTTCGGATGACGGGTGACGGGACATCATCGCGACGACATGACAATAATAATAATATTATTAACGTTGAATATTGTGTTATTAATAATATTAACTTGGCGTTTCGGATGTGCGGACGACTACGGTGTAGTCGACGGATCTCTGAGAAACGATTTTATAAAAAACCCGTTAAAGGCCTACCGAAAAAACGATGATCAGTTATATATAGACTACTATCAAGGGACAGAGCAACGGGCGCGCATTGACTCTCCACTCTCCAGACTGACTGACCAGCGATGGGCACAAAGTCGGACGACGAGTGAACACGATGAATAGTCGGATACTACTGCACTGGCACACTCCCTGTCTGACGTCTAGCGGTCGGCACAGACTGGCGGCAACTGGCGATCGCAAGCCGGCAAATTGGACCGGCGGGCGACGGCGGCAATCACCGGCGGTTTGGAAATAATAATAATAATAATATCAATGGCGTGTGTGGTGTGTTACACAAAAGGGGAAAAACACTACAGAGTCGCAGACTTGCCATAGATAATAGAACGGGTGAGGGGGAAAGGCAAAACGCAAAAACCAGAGCAGCTGCGATTACAATTTATATCACTATTTCCCCGTGTGTTCAGCTGAGGTTGCGGCGGTGCCAACCCACGGTGAATGATAACGGTCCAGAGATAAGCGACGTGTGAGAGTTACAACTGAGAAATGAGAATATAAATACACACGTAAATATTTCATTATCTCTTATTATGACGTTCCGATTATTTTTAATTTTATTTATCCCGAACGCCGCCGTCTCCTAAACAAGTTTCTATCGTTGTGGATTCTCGTTAGTTGTTATTGTTTTTGTTCCCAAATAATAATAATAATATTGTTTTTCGAGTGTTTTTTTTCAATCCAATTTATCCCGCCGACACTTCCAGACTTACGAATTCTACCGCCACGGTTTCAATACGTTTATTTATTTTTTCACCGTCTTTGCAGAACACTTCCGTATCCACAAACGGTATGCATGCAATTGTATGTGTTTATTGTTTCCCCGGCATTACAAAGGCAACGTTAAACGCTTAGGTGGTCGAATTATTTTTATCATGCACCCAAGGTGCCTCACGCAGCCCATAGGTCGCCGATACGGTTAACAAGTTGGTTTGGAAGCACGTCCTATCCGTCTACGGTTTGTCGGATAGATGTATGTTGATTAAATCCTCGCTAGTCAACGGAGTTAAAATAATGAATATCGGCAGAAGTAATCCGCACGGCAACCGACTATTATTCGCTGGTTTCAATCAGGATCAAGGTAACTAATTGATCCGTTTTTAACCTTGCAATTAGACGACATTAAATACCTACCTGCCCATCAATATTTTAGCAGGTAGTTTGTAAATTAGTTATATGATTTCAAACTATACTACAGCCATATGTTTAATTCTCTAGGTAAGTAACGATAACATGACTCAATAGGTATTATATTCATTTTTTTTTCAGTCACATCTACCTAGTGCTTGTAAAAAATACCTATAAATAGTAACTTTTTTAACACTAATATTATACTGTTTTTCACAGCCATATTAATGTCAACATCAATATTGTTTCTAAAAAATCTTTAGAAACTTAAGTAATCAGTTTCAGCAATTTCTTACATTTTAAGATTGATCCCATTATCTGATAAAATGTCATGGCTATGACCTGGCCCTTGCTAACCAATTGAACCCCAAAGTGGTTTTTTGTAATACATACCTACAAAATATTAAAGTTGTCATAAGTTTGAAATTAAGACTGAACGCTGAATTTTGACTCCACCATCGTCTTTAGTATATTTAACTTCTTAAGTTACAAAAAAAAATTGATTATGATTTATTTTCAGGATGTTTTGCTTGTGGTATGGATAAGGGCTTTAGAGTTTACAACTGTGACCCTTTAAAAGAAAAAGTTCGCCAAGACTTTCCAGATGGTGGCCTTGCCTTTGTAGAAATGTTATTTAGGTGTAATTATTTAGCTATGGTCGGTGGAGGCACATCACCAAAATATCCCACGAACAGAGGTACGACCTCAGTTGAACTCAAAAATTAAACCAGCCTTTTGATTTGTGAGGTTGTTTTTCCCACAGTTGTTATCTGGGATGATCTGAAAAAAGATTCTGTGATTACTTTGGAGTTCAACACACATGTGCTATGTGTGCGCCTAAGAAGAGATCGAATAGTTGTTGTGCTTGAGGGTGTCATCAAAGTCTACACGTTCACGCAGACTCCACAGCAGCTACATGTGTTTGAAACTCATGCTAATCCAAAAGGTATATATCAGTATGATTATCTTTTCATTGTTTTTACTGTTTAACAACTAATAGATAAATTAAATAATTGTATTTTTTAGGTTTATGCATGCTATGCCCCAATAGCAACAATTCATTATTAGCATTCCCTGGGCGAAAAATGGGACATGTTCAATTGGTAGATCTAGCAGATACAGATAAACCTCCTCTGGATATTGCTGCACACGAAACCCTCTTGGGATGTATAGCTCTTAATTTACAGGGTACAAGACTGGCTACTGCATCTGAAAGAGTATATTTAGTCAAAAATATTAATATTTGTAGATACAACTAATGAAAGCAAATAAAAACTTTTTTAGGGAACTCTTATAAGAGTATTTGACACAAAGTCTGGAAATATGTTATATGAATTTCGAAGAGGAACTAATACAGCTCAAATTTATTGGTAATTTATTTGGTTGTTTTTTCAAAACTTAAATGAAGTGTTTATCTTAATATTTATTTTATTTTTTTATTAATCTGTTCACAACACTAATTTAGTATTAACTTCAACGCGGATTCAACTATGATGTGTGTTGCTAGTGATCATGGAACCATTCATATATTTGCATTAGAAGACCAAAGTTTAAATAAGCAGTCAAGTTTAGCTTCAAATTTCCTACCAAAATACTTTAGTTCTAGTTGGAGCTTTTGTAAATTTCAAGTGCCTAATGGACCACAGTGTGTTTGTGCATTTGGATCAGAAAACAATTGCATCATAGGTAATAATTCAAATTTAAAATTTGTTTGCACATTATAATTTTTAAACTATTTAAATAGTTATTTGTGCTGATGGAAATTACTACAAGTTTGTGTTCAATCAAAAGGGTGAATGCTGGAGAGATATCTGTGCTCAATTTCTAGAAATAACTAATGATAGTAGCATTATTAGTTGATATTTTTTCTTTTAATTGTTTTATTATTCATCTATTGTTAGGTACATATTCCATATCATTTTATTTATAAAGTATTATTTTATTTTATTTGATAGTTAATTTTCAAATGTTGTTTTAAATATATTTAATTAAAATCTATTTTTGTTAATCTTTATAGTATAATGTATTATTATATAATGTTGGCTAGTTATATATTTCTATATATCTTATGTATAGTGAAAAAGAAAATATAAGACATTTTCTGATCATTATAATTAATTATATTTCCGTTATTTTATGAAATGTGCGAGGCTAAGGTAAACATGTTTTTCATCATGCATAGAATATAAAATACTCATATATCAATGGTGAATTTATTGACAAATTTTTATAAGTTCGAAATTAGAATACTATACATTCTTGTGAACAGTATTCCTATTTTGGATATAAATAAACAGGTTTGACAACATTGAAAATAATAGCCATAGGGAGGACATCATTGTCGTTACTCGTCACTGTGAGCTGTCATGTTTGAAAATGTTGAACTGTGTAACTGAGTTAGAAGGACAATTTGATATCTCGTTGCTATCTATGGTTTTATGTTGATAATGATAATAAATGATAACTATAATATAATGTGCGTATTAAATAACCAATTAAAAAATGAATATAACAGTGTTTAAGAAGTAGGTTGTACTTTTTTTATTGTGGAAGTGACCTCGTGAACTATAATGAGTTAATAACATTAATTGTATAAGACAACTCTCATGTATAATTGTAAGTCAAAATTATAGCTTTCAAAAACTTAATAGTTAAATATCTGGACTTTTTCATGTATAGCTTGTCAATTGAATTAATATAAAAAGAACAAAATTAGTTAAATGTAGATTATGTAAGTTGGTGGCGCCAATTGAAATTAAAACTGGTAATTCAAATAGCTTGATTAACCTCCCTCCCCCCTCCCACGGTAAACACTCTTAACTTATTAAATATGAATAACTTAATGACATTCATTCGTTTAGTAAAATCATAGTAGAAATACTAGGAACTATAATCTATTATTTTACCCACCCATCCAGTTTTTAAGGCAGTTCAATTTAACTACCTGAAGTATCTGTTCAGAGCCACTGATGTGAGTCAATGTTTATGTGGATTGTTTATTTACATATTTATAGATGTAAAAAGATATAATTTAACAAACTACAATTTATAAATTATACATACCATATTATTATCATTGATGAAATTATTTATAGATTGTTAAAATAAATGTTAAACAAAAATGATATTTATTTATAAGTAATTGTGTCATATATAAAAATATTATAAAATATACATTTTTTCCTTTGTGCATAATTTAATAAGTACTTAAACAATAGGTACAGAAATACTGTCTAAATAAATTCATACTTCCGATTCTAAGAAATGGAAATACAAGATTTTTCAATTTAATTGAAGAAATTGATGACGGAGTAGAAAAAAGCCAATACTAAGATATTATGACACATTAAAATTATTTAAATTATAAATAGGATTTGGGACCTATTACAATAAAAATATTTTGAATAATATGCAATTAAAATTAACTAAAACTTAAAAATTTTTAAATTATATTGAATAACAGTAAAACATGAAAATGTGCCGTTGATATCAATAGTTATTAAAATATCTTAAATTCATCAAATGTGCATTGTATAAAAATATAACAAAATATGCTGAGTCACACTATAAATTTAAATTCACCATTTCACAAAATAAATGTTTATCTAGAATATTCTTCATCCACTACAAAAATACGTGCAAATTCAAAGTCCTTAATTTTAGTTATAAAGAATTTATTTAAAAACTTACAGTTCAAGAAATTTTCAATTCGTAGAAAAATACAAAATTGTTAAAGTATTTTAAATTGTTCAGAGTAGGTACTCAAAATTGCTTAAGTACTTGAAAATTTCCCTGTACACAGGAATTGTAAAATTAGTTTATTGACATTAGTTCATTAAGTATTTAGTAGGTATGTAAAAAAAATTGAATATTGTGTTTCAAGATATTTATGGTTCTTTTACTTATTTTTCCAATAAAACAATCAAGTAGGTACTTGACCTCAAGTGAGTACTTGCCAAACTATTTACTCATTTTTGTAAAATATTGACACGCTCTTAAATATAGAAGGCCACTGTAAAAAATTTTAGGTGGTTGAATTAAGTCAGTAAAAGAGTTAAAGTATACATATGAATAAGTTTATTTTCTTAATATTTATAATTATATGTTTTGAGCTTAACACATTATAAAAAGCATAATATTTATTATATTTTGGACTTTAATACATATCTTTACCTGAATAATAGGTAATAATAATATGGATAGTTGTAAATGCTTGCAGTAACATTATAAAAAACTTTAATATTACATAAAAGCTTAAATACATAAAACCTATATTTGAACAAAAGAGAGAGAGCTAAAGTATTAACGTTTGATTCTATTATCATCACATAATTTACAATTTGATCAACTAACAAATAGGATAATATCATGTTATTAAAAATAAATTATTATTAATAGTTTGTAAAGTAACTTTAATATTAACCTACTATATTATGTATAAGCTAAAGCTGAATTAAAAAAATATATATAGTTGTATGTTTTGAATTCAAGCATAATCAAAACAAAATACTAAGATATATCATACATATTTTTTTTTAAACTAGTGAATTTGGACATAATATGATAAAACTCCTATGTTTAGGAAATTGAGATTAAAACAAAATAATTTACAATAAGTCACAAAAATAAAATCAAACAATTTAACAGTTTCAATGATAAGATTGCACATTTTTTCTTAATTGCACAATTTTTGAATAATATTTTTAATTATTCTCATAAAAACAACTACTAGTTCATACAAAATAACAATTATTTATACTATCTTTGGAATTTGGACGGACAAAGCGCAGGATAAGTAAAAATTAAAATATTTACAAAAGAATTATTACTAATATACAAACATAAATAAGTGTAAAAATAAATACGGGGCTGTGCATAAAAACTATGAAATACAAAAATAAATAATAAACAGTTATAAATATAGTAAACATAAAATGAAAATTTTTAGAATTTAAATCATAAATGGCACAATGACTAGTTCACATTATAAAATTAAAATAAAGTATTAAAATATTGCAATTTTTTACAGTTAAAACCCCAGAAAGACAGCATTAGGACACTATTATATTAATACAAAAATGTTTAAATTATATCATAACAAACAAAAAATTAATTAACAAGAAAAAATAATATATCTATATATATTTTAAATACAATTTTTATAACTAAATATATCATTTAATTTATATTTAAAATTTATATATTTTTATCTCCAAAAGATTAATATAAGTTTACAATTAATAAATTGTTATCACAATTTATGAAAGTTCATTGAAACATCATATAAAATAGTTAGACAGTATTATAACTATTACAATGTATGTATTTAAATATTGCACAGTAAGCACTGTTCACTTCAGACAAATGAAAAATTATATATGTACAATACTTCATATTTAAACAATAACAATTATTATGAGCAAAAATGTGCCAAAAAAAAGAGAAATAAACAATAAACATAAAGACATAAGATTGATAGTTTTAATTTTAATGATTTAAAATAATATTACTCATAAATAGTTAGTAAAATTTGTAAGTAATTGGGCATATATTTTGGTTGTGATAGAGTACTACAATTAACAATGAACAACATAACAATATTAATATTAAACATTTTCATTTAAAGTAAAATTAAAAAAGAGCAAGTATCTCAATCAGATTTGAAATGGAAAAAAGTTGCACCTTTAGTGACTTCAACTATATTATATAATATTAAATAGGCAATATGAATCGTAATTTTATTATTATTATTTTTTTTTTAATACCCAATTGATCAAACCGAATCAAATAGTAATATCTTTACTGTGTATAACTGTAGGTTCATCTTTACAAAATGTACCTGATCTAGAACCTATAGTGGGATGTCCATTTGGCAACAATTTTGTTTTAGGAATAATAGTTTGTCTTTTAACCCCATTCATAATTTTCTCATTCGGAGTTTTTTTAATACTTGCATTATTTTGTACAGGTTTTCTAGTTTTGGGTGTTTGTTTTATTGCAATGGATGACGTACGATTGCTAGATGGTAGAGGATCAGTTTTAGGTAACATAGTTCTAGGTTTTGGTTTAGGAGTAGACAGAGATAATTCAGATGATGTTTTAGTTTTTAAGCCACTGTCTATTCGATTGGTAGACAACCTGGAACTTGCAAGAGTACTCCTAACACTAGGCGATGAAATTAGAGATGTCGATGATGACATAATGCGACGGCCACGAGGTAAATCTTTATGAACAGACAACATCTTTGGAGGTATAGGTGTAGTCGGTTGTGGTTTCGGTTCCATATACCGTGATTTTACCTAAAATTGTTTTTAAATTATTATAAAATGTTGTATAGATAATTTAATAAACTGAAAAATACTAAATAACTAATTTTTTTCATACCTCAGCAAATTTTCCAGGAGTTTTAACTTTTGTTAAGGGAGTGTTTTCAACAGCAGGTTTTAGTTTAACTTTAATTTCCGGTGTTTTATTTAACGTTCTAGTACTAGCCGTCATTTTTTTAACAGGGCTTGATGTTATCAAAGTTCCATTTGCTGCTAATTCTATTCCAGGTAAGCCCAACTCAAATGCAATTCTTTTAGCAAGGGTTTCGGACATACGATAATCATTTGGAAGACTACCCATTGCTTGTCTTTCTCTACCATTCCTGAAGTCAGAAGCTAAACCTTTGACAATTAACTCCATAATAGCATTCACCAAAATTTCCCCTTGTGTATGCTAAAAATGTACAATATACAATATTATAAAAAAATATACTTTTTTAATTAATTGACTATTGAAAAGCTTTTCAAAATAATGTATAAGATATGCAATAAATGATAATTAATATTTTTAAATATTATTACTATCTTACCTCTTTACCATGTCAAAATAGTAAATTCGTGAACAATTTAAATAGTTGGCCTATCTTACATTTAAATATCAAAGAACAAAGTTGAATTAATTATTTACTTTTAAGCAAGAATAATCAATAACTTATCAATTTTAAGACCAATATAAAATATGA